GAAGTCAAACCGTTTTGCGGATGCTCTTTCACGGCGTCCGGATCTTTGTACCGCGGTCTACTCAACCTTCGAGATCGACGATGATGCGGGACAGCTTCATCCGCGGAGAAGAGGCGCGGGAATCATTTTTGGCTCTCAAAGCCGCGCTATTGTCCGTGGAGGTCTTGCGGATATACGACCCGCTTTTGCCTACGCGCGTCACTACGGATGGGTCAGGCTATGGCATTGGTGCAGTCCTCGAGCAACATCTATGGCATTGGTGCAGTCCTCGAGCAACATGATGGTGTGGACTGGCACCCGGTCGAGTATTTCAGCAAGAAAGTGCCCGTCGTGCATTCCATTGACGATGCACGCAAGAAGGAGCTCCTCGCCTTCGTCCACGCGCTCAAGCGGTGGCGGCACTTCCTCCTTGGTCGAAGCCAATTCCGATGGGTAACGAACAACAATCCGTTGGTCTTTTACAAGACCCAAGACACCTTCAACAGCACCATCGCTCGATGGATGGCTTTCATCGACCAGTTCGACTTCTTTCCCGATCATATTCCCGAAGGAAGTCGAACCGTTTTGCGGATGCTCTTTCACGGCGTCTGAATCTTTGTACCGCGGTCTACTTAACCTTCGAGATCGACCATGACCTGCGGAACAGCTTCATCCGCGGCTACCAAGCCGACCCCGAGTTTCGCGACAAGTATGCGAATTCTCCTCTCCTAATCCGGCGCCTTGTCACTACCGGATCCAAGAGGGGTACTTGCTTGTCCACACGCGGGGGAAGGACCTTCTTTGCGTACCGAGTGATCCTCACTTGCGTACACGGCTTCTTGGCGAGCTCCACGATGCTCCCGCCACCGGACACTTTGGAGACAATCGCAGGATTGGCCAACTTCGCCAGCGATTCTGGTGGCCCAGCCTTCTCGGCGACGTCACGCGCTATTGCGAGTCATGCGAGGTTTGCCGACGCTGCAAATCCCGCAACCATCGTCCGTACGGCGAGTTACGACCATTACCGGTCCCGTTGAGGCGAAGGGAAGCAATTGCCATGGACATTACCGGCCCGTTCCCCAAACACAAGACCGGAGTGGATGGGATTCTCACGGTGGTCGACCGACTCACCAAGTTCGCCATGTTCTTGCCTTGTCGCTATCATGCCAAGGCACCGGAGTTGGCCGAGGTTCTTTACGCCGGTTGGATTCGAACCAAGGGTTACCCCAAGGAGATCGTCTGCGACTGTGACACCCGGTTCATGTCCGATTTTTGGTTGGCGCTCATCAAGCGATGGGGCTCATGTCTCAAGCCCAGTTCAGCTCGCCACCCTAAAGACCGATGGCCAAACAGAGAGGGCGCACCAGATCGCACAGGTTCGCCTTCGCACTCTCATTCGTCCGAACCAGAAGGACTGGGTTGAGCGGCTGCCGGATGTCGAGTTGGCCTACAACTCTTCCATCAGCCCGGCTATCGGGATATTGCTTTTCGAGTTTGAGCACGGCTCGCCGGTCACTTCACTGTTGGACACTATTACTCCACGAATGGCCGAGAGCGATGACCATCTTCTTTTCTCGCGTCGAATGCAAGAGCTTCTTATCAAGGCACGCGACCGGATGGCTAAGACGCAGCAGCGCATGAGCCAGCAGGCCAATCGCCATCGTCTTCCTTGCCCATTCCGCGCCGGCGACCTCGTGTGGGTTTCCGTAGCGGAATTCAGCCTTGAACAAGATATCTCTCGCAAGCTCCTGGATGGGGCCTTGGCCGATCGTAGCGCCCGCTGGGGACGCACCCTAGGGACCTTCCTTCACGATTCAGGTGCCCGCCCACTTGCCCGTCTACCCAGTCTTTCATTGCTCCAGGTTGGCTCTATACACGCCAGCGGAACATGACGATTTTCCCGGGAGACGTTCGCAAGACCCACCCTCTATGGACGGTTTTCGGGAGGTCGGCAACATCATCATCCAGCGACGCCACGGCAACAGGCCAACCGAGTATTTGGTGCATTTTGCATACTGCACACACCGAGCTGACCGTTGGTTGACCCGTGCGGAACTTCAAGCAACAGCGCCAGACGTTCTCGCACGCTATGAACCCAAAATGCAAGGCAAGCCGGTCTCTTCGGCTCCTCGCCGCGCCCGCGTCCAGCTTCCGCCTTCGGATTGTCGGCTCCGCCCTCGCCTCGGCTTGACTTTATAAGGAGGGGGGGGGTGTTACAAGCTGCGCCTGCACACGAGGGCCATTTTCCAGGCCCTGCGTCCCTCGGGCTAAAAGCCTGAAAACCAGTGCCTACAGGCCCCGTGACTGTTCAGCCCGAAAGCCTGAAAACACGGGCCTACAGTCCCTGTGTCGTTTCAAACTAAAAATGGCAACAGCCTTTTTAGCGTAAAACGAAGGGCCATTTTCGGTCCTTCATCAGAACGACCGGCCCTGAAACTCAGGGACCGAAACACGGTTTCGGGAACAGGCTATTCTTAGCCTGTTCCCCACGCCAGCCTCAGCAGCCGCTCCAGCGCCAGCCCCTGGCTCACTTCGGCATTGGCAAGAGCAGCCTCCTCGGCCTGGCTCGCCCTTCAGGCAGTCAGGAGGCAGGCCGAGGTAGTACATAGGGACTTCCCATGCACTTCATGGGGAGGCAGGAGGCAGTAGAAGTATTCAGGATTCGGCGGCAGCACTCTGGAGGGAGCGCTGCAGGCGTAGTAGTAGTGTTAGCCTTAGTCTTCAGCGTTGGGCGCAGTAGGTAGCTGTAGTCTCCAGCGTTGGGCGCCATAGCTAGGATAGCACTCGAGAGAGAGAGAGATTGGGCGGAGGCCAGAGGTACTTACCTGCAGCGCCGTTGCTCCAGCTTCGTCTTCGAGGTACCTGCAGCACAGCGCCAACATCACAGGTTAGTATCTGGCTCGTAACAAAGAGAGAGAGTTCTTCTTCTTCCTCTTCTCAGTCCACCATCTCCTTCTCCCCCTCTCATCATCTGACTTCACTGCATCTGCAGACTACGAGAGAAGAGAGAAAGAGCTTGGTGACATCGGATCCAGACTCGACTTTTGGACTTCAGACATTGCAACGAGGGATTATTTGGGACTTGTGACAAAGACTTGGTGTTGACGACATTCCCATCTCTCTCCCTCCTTTCGCTTGATTCCCTCCTCTTCGTTTGTGTATGTCTGGACCTGGCGCTTGCTTCCTGTGTACAGCGCCAGGCTCCTTCACACCTGGTGATGGATACGATGTATGTTTGGTCTGCGTTCAAACATTGATTGGGCTAGTCATTAGCATTCTAGCATTCTGCTTCGCTATCTGATACTATGTGAATGAGGTCAGTCCTGGTCAGGTCAGGCTTTGTATCTAAGTCTTCCCTGCGCTATTCAGCACCATTCTGTATGTATTAGAATGCACATTGCTTGTTGAGATTCTACTTGCACTGCATTGTCCATTCAGTCCTTTTCATCACATTTGGCCGTTGGGCCGGATTAGTTCTGGGATGGGTGACCTCCTGGGAAGTCCCGGTGCTGTACCTACAGGCAAGGAGCCCTTATGGGCCCGCGGGACAGCTCTGCGAGTCAGCTGCAAAACAGCATGCACACAGGTCGAAACAGGGTATGTTTGGGGAGTTCAAAGTTCAAACACATGCAACACGTGGGACAGCAAACATAAAGACTGGAAAGTAGTAATGGGCAGGAGTAGGGAAGACATAGGTGCAGAATACAACGAGCAGCGAGCAAAGTTGTGCAGCAGCCAGCAGAGGACAGAAAGGCGGGTATGGGGTGGAGAGGAACTGGGGAACCACCAACATCACACCCTTCCACCCTTCCTTTCACTGGCACCCGCCTCAAGGGATTCGCACCGCATTCCACCGCCAAACAAGCCAGCGCCCAGGCCCCTAGGAGACAGCCACCTCTCACCCCAACGCC